CAAAGTCCTTCCATTCACTTTCAAAAAGCTTGGTCTTTAATCCTCTACCTCCAGCAACCAGAAGAAACAGGTAATGTCACCTGAGCAGAGAAAAAAAAATCAGAAGACTCTTTTTGGCCGGTAATTGTTAGGTGGAACTGGATACTGTTGCTCCCACCCCTTGGAACATTCCCCCCCCCCAGAGGTGGGGCAGGCCCCTACCTTACCAGCCTTCTGGAAAGAATTGAAGAGCTGGCTGTGCCAGCTTGCGTGGGGGGATAACAACTTTACCCAATCTTGGGAGTGGCTAGTGCCTTGATGACACTCCCTGAGTGATTGTCAGTTATTGCCAATTATTTTGGATCTTTTTATTTTTCTATTTATTTTTGTAATTTTTTTATTTTAATTGATTTTAATTGTTTTGTAAACCGCCCAGAGTCGTTCAACAAGATGGGCGATGACACATTTGATAAAAAATAAAATATGATAACATAATAATGTGTAATGATGTAATGGTGGTTCATAGAGATAAGTCACCTTTAAACACCATTCAAAAGAGACAAAAAGGCTAAGGAGCTTTTTAAAAAGCATGCCCCCTTTTACGTGAGCTACGTGGTGCCCTCAAAAACTCGTCTACTTTCTCGCTGGATCTTCAGCGCTTGAAGAACCAATGAGGAAGTGGTAGTAATAATACCTTTTGTATTAGATTTTCTTTTTTATAAATGTAGTTGTCTTACTAAGAGATCATTTTGTATGTACCTTTTTAATAAAAATTGATAATTGATTGTGGGCTCTCTCTTTGTTGTCACAACCTTCCCTTTCAACTGAACAAAAGCCATTGCAAGCTGTTCAGCAGTTGGGGGCAGGAATCTTGCCACCAAGTCTGGGACCCCAGAAAGAGAAGGAAGCCGTAACTTGGCAACAACATGCAGAATAACAGCAATGGATCAAATTACTGTTTTTCAGTTGCACAAACAGACTCAAAATGCAACAATGCATTGCTATGAATGGGGGGGAAAAACTGCATATGGCTGTTTCCAAAGGCCTGTTTTTCCATGTGTGGTTTTTTTCTTTCATACTTTTATTACAAACTTTAAAGAAAATGCACAAAAACAGAACACGAAAAAGATGGAAAACAACCACAAAAAAGGTAATATGTGCATATCCAACAGATAATCTAATTATTTGTTATATTATTTGAACAAGCAAAAGGGGGGAAAACACAACAAGCAATTCCCTCCCTAAAAATTAACGTTAAGATAAATCCTTTAAATAGTTCACATATTTAACAACATATCAAATTACGTCAAAATTGCCTGATTCATGAGAAATATGAAATCTATGCCAAAGGGAAACGCACGGTCTTTGGTATGCGTGTGTGGAATTAATAGGGGAAAATGGCCCTTTCAAAATGGATAGATTACGTATTTCTTGAATCCAATCCTTGATGTCCAAAGTAACTCCTGTTCCAGCTTCAATATAAGTCTCTTCATGTAAGTGGTGTGTGTAACGGAAGGGCTGCATCTGCCCATCTTGCCCCCAACTTCAGCGCATCCATGGAACATGCCCTGTCTGCAGCCAGAGTGTTTTTGAAGTGCCTTTGTGTTGGGCAGGACGTCTTCACTGCACAGACCAGCTGGTTGAGAAATGCCTTAGGAATTAACAAAGCAATTTCAAGGGCTGTCAACTTCTTGAACAATCTTGATTAGCTACGAAGTTCACAATAAAAATGAGGTGTTCCGTGGGTCTGTATTCTATTCGCAGCCTCTTCTTAATTTTTTTTCCTCAGCTCTGTGCTGTGCGATACATTAAAAAAGGTTTGGGTGTAATGGAATAGGGTGGAAAAGTCTTGAGGGATCATTGAAAGAATTACATTCCTAAATGTTCCCTGATGCTCTGTATACATACTTTAAAAAAAAGGGATTTCTGTAGCGGCCCCCACCAATTTTGTAATTCACTTTGGGGTAGTCTTCCAAAAATTTATTTCCCAGCATGTGGTTCTGAACCTCTTCTTAGAAGTAATGTGAATATCGCAGGACCATTTTAAAACAACTAGTATCCATTTCCCTTCATGAAAAAGAGGAAAGGAATTGGCTATTACCTGCTGTTCCAACAACACAGCCTTTGCTTAGCGGACATTACAGTATCATTTTGCTGTAACCCCCCCCCCCTTAAAATCGTCACAGGTCTGAAGCGGAGTGGACCGCAGGAGAATGCTGTTACTAGCAGATTAGATGGCTGTGACCCAGGCATTCT